TAAAGCACTTGCAACGTTAAAGGCACTCCGCTTTGCGTCGTGCCCTTAAACTCGTTGCGCGTGCTTTAAGGTTGGAGTCTGCATTTATAACGTTATGGAGATACTGCGTGCCTAATTTTCAGGCGAACCAGTGAACCGAATTTGTTGAAATTTATAGTGTAGTAAACTAATATAATTCTACACAAAATGAACAATTTTGAAAAAAAAATTTCAATTGGTTTGGGAATTACAGTCAAAAAACCGCTTTTTTTCAAAAAAACTTCAATATGTAAGTTTACTCACCTACATTACGCCAATGAAAACCAAAACTTTTTTTGGCGTTTCGTTTTCCTGAAAATTAGGAACGCAAATTCTAATAATTAAAGGTTCACACCTTCACTCTTATCTACATAATAAATTATAACATCGTCCAATGATATGTAAAGTTCATGTGGAGATACATGTTGCACTCGTATTACACAGAAATACCCACCTACTTCCTATATAATATATAAAACACAATTATACTTTATATTCATTTATACCTATGTACTTACCGTTGGTAGGATCCTTATTCTATATTTATGTATCAGGCTATCAATAGAAATGAAAAGACACACTACCGAATTGAAAACCCAAACTTTGTTATAGTATGGCGTTTGATTGAATTAAATCGATTTATTGATTACTTAACAGTTTTTTGCGCATTTTTTTGGAAAGTAATTTTATCCATGGTAGGTATTCTAATGAAAAGTCTCAACGAAAAGAATTGATTTCTACCAAACACCATCCACCTCCCCTTATCGAGATCGGTTACTTCATCGGTACTTTACCTGATTTTCGCAATGTACGTATAATTGCATAAGGTATTCCTAAATGTGATGCAAATACGGAAGGGGCTAATTCTTGGTTTATTTTATGACTAAAAGTTTATATAAACATTCATAGTTCCGCAAACGTTTCGTTACTGATCTACAGGATGTTATAACTTCACCGTACACTTTATAAATTAAACCTGTAATTTGTATATAACACAAGATACAATTTCAAATGCGAACTGTCAAGACTCTAAATAAAATCAAGAGATTATCCAAATAAAGCTAAGGTCATTTTAAAAATTATACATTCATTTGGCTAAGTAGGTGCCTACCGAAAATTGTATTTTTATTTCTCGACAACGGTCGCAAATATGAAAAAATTACAAATTACCAAAAAGTTTCCAAAGAAATCATAAAATCAAATTCTTATGTCGTTCTATGTACCTAACCTGGTCTAGATTATACGATAAATCGAGAACGGAAACAATTCTGTTCTAGATGAGGTTTTCAACAATCGATATTTTATTGTAATTAGAAAGGTATGGTTATCATTTTAAGCATCGAAGGACCATTATAATTTTGTCGTTGCCGTACATACTGCACCATGTAGAATTCTTTAAAATCGATTCTTTACGGTTAATCATTTTTGATCTCCACGTATTTGCGAATAAAACTGTTGGATATTTTTATTACCATATTTAGTTTATCTCAAAGTTAATGTAAAAACCTATTTATTATTGGTGCATAGGTAGATAGGTACCTGCTATCGGTATAGGAACCTCTAACATTATACGATCTTGTAATTTATGAATATATATCTAATGATCGCTTTTTTAGGTACTATACTCTTATTTACACAAACTAATTTTTTACCTAAAGTAGTTCTATATAGGGTGTCTAAAATTGAGTAAGATAATATCTATCTTTGTTATTATTACCCATACTTACAGATTCAGTTAAATTGGCAAAATTGTGTAGTTTTTGATGCGGAGGGATATTTCGATGCGATATTTTGAAAAAAAGTGAAAATCGTTATTTTTTAAAAAGTTCAGATATTTTAGTAACAAAGAGTAAAAGTTGCAAGATTCGATGGGATAAATTCAATGCACGCAGAAAAAATTTTTCAAAATGGCGGTTTTCGAGATATTGTCATCAACTTCATCATTGTAAATGGATGCCGTATTGGATTTTTACTCATAGCATTGAATTTATAACTTATAAATTCAATGCTCATAGTTTGATACATGTTTTTTTTTCTTTCCAACCATATACCGGGTGGTGCCCAGCGCGACGCAGCATAAGGATTTCAATGGTAATTTCTTTATAGTCAATTACTAGCTCCCCTAATTATTTTAGAGCAAAAGTCTAAATATGTTTCTTTTAGAGAAAAAAATACTGCATCTGCTCATACTTTTAGTTATAATTTTCCGTTTTTCAAAAAAATAAACTTTCTATAGAACATACGCACCCAATTTTATTCCATTCAATGCAATTAGTCTAGTCATAATACAAAAATTGACAATTATTTGTTACTTTCACACATTTGCGCATACGCCATTCTGCCCAAAAGCTTTCCAGCTCTTCCTTTTATGTCTAAGAATTTTGTTTGATTCGGATTTCTGATGCCCCAAAAAGTGTGGGGTCATTTTTTACCCCAATGCAATACCTAACTCCCCATATGTATACTTTTACAATGCTTTTACTAACGTGGTGATTATAAAAAACTACAGTTCAGCTTCAGCGCTAAATTTAATATTTAAGTAAGAAAGTCCGTAAATACGTAAACAAAATAAGGTGTCATGAAAGCACTAAGTATTTTGTTATATAAAAATATCAATTCACAAAACTGGAACGAACGTAAAAATAAGAAGGTAGCTACGTAACCTGAAATAAATGCAATTAAAATCTTATCATTTATATACGGATGTAGACGGATTTAATTTCACAAAGTGTGGGCGGCTAAAGATACATGTAAATATGACTCAGATTCTCGAGCAGGTAGTCGTATTAAATGATAAGGCGGAGTCCAAGCGTTTCAGCAAATAATGACGACTTCAATGACATCTGTTAGCTTTATGAAAGAAATAACGGCAAGAGACCCCAGCCTTAAAGACTTGATTATACACTTGTATCTTAATATACTATTAATGTTTCCCCCTGATGTTATGCAACTCATATAGCGCGTGGCCTACTTATTTATATTTACGAAAGAATCAAATTTTGCATCAGAATGTACGGCCTAAATTTCTAGCGTCCTCGGACACGCCCTGTCAGGGACTTTCTGAGCTTGGTGGCACTGTACATCTAAAATAAAAATCGTACATAAAGTAATTGCAACGGAAAACAGTATGCAAAAGCAAAAATTGAACAACAAAAATTAATCCTAATAATAATAACTACATTTTCTTCAAAGTAAGATTTCTAACGAATTCTTTACTGAATTTTTGGAAGTCGGCGGTGGCATTTCAATTTTACTTAACACTAAATTTAAGAGGAAAGATGTTAAATACTCAAACGACCCTTCATATTTTATGGTTGCATGTTGTGGAAGTGTAAAACTATATATATTCTTATATTAATATTCTGCATTTCTGATTAAGGGGGGGGGGGGCGATTCTAACTGATTTCGGCGGTTGAAATTTCAGTAGTTGCGTCCAAATTGCGATCGTAACCATCTATCGGTGTCATCATGAATGACTAATATACGTCAATGAAACTAGATAGACTATATAGAGTGGTTGAAATTACGATTTCAACTTCGAAATAGAAGGGATAGCGACAGTGCGCGCTTTGATTCGGAAAGTCGCGTGGTTTTAGCCTCAATTTTGTGTTTTGGTTGTTTTGTTTTACTTTTACTTCCGTATCTTACAATGGCGGAGACTAAAATCACATCCCAACAAAAAACCTTTTAATTTATTTCATGGAGGACCATTATAAAGTTTAAAATAGTTCAAAATCAGACAGCCAACTTAGCAAAATATAAGAGCAAACTTAAAGAAACATAAACTTCCTATTACACCCTAAAGAGTAGAAATTTGGTGTCATGGCGACGTCGAAATTCTTTTTCGATCGTTGAAATCAGTTAGAATCGGCTGGTCTGACAACGATCAAACCATGATCAAACACTTGCGTCTCTGTTGCACCGTGACTCCCTCAGCAATACGCAACCGCAAGCTCTTGAATTTGAAATTTGAATTTGCTTTAATCCGCCAACGTGCAAGAACTGCAAGCGTTTCTTTCGTTTGTATTACCATTGAATTTATAACTATTATAAATTTTTATAAATACAAAAACCGTTAATATAACTGGTATCTTATTTTCAATCTTATGTTATAATAGCTCGTTGAAAAGAGAATTTAAAAATCTATCAAGTAATCTAAAAATCCAATATGGCGCCCATTTAACTTTAGGAAGTTGGTAAATGTTCCTCAAAAGTGGCCATCTTTGAATTTCTTTTTAACATCAATTCTAAATTAAGCGTATCAAAGACAGTCACTTTTATATAAAACTTTTTTTATATCTCTTATACTTTCGATGATATAAGACATTCAAGGAAATGACCAATTTTAGTTTTTTTGAATTTACGTCGAACCTATGCGACATTTTGAATTTCCATAAGGAAATTTTAAATAAGCATCCAAAACTGCAAAACATTGCCCATTTAACCAATTCTCTATCTTTAATAATAACAAAGTTACCCATGCAATCCCACCCGGTTTGGGACACACTGTATAATAAATGAAATTTCATACGTGTGTATTTCTCCAACGTTGTATAAAAATGGCAAATGCGGGTATTTGTTTGTGAATATTAGCAGTGTGGCAATTCATAAATAACAACCCCTAATTTAAAACTATACGGATAAGAAAGGTGTCGTAGATGCGGGTGAAAAATTTAGATATTTTCACCTTTATTTGGTCCCTGCAGTATATAAATGTCAATTAACTTTAACACTTTAGGAATTGTGGTTAAAAAAAAGAGAAACAAGTGCGCTGTTGCGGTCACTTTTTAAGAAAGTTTGTACTTACGAATTTTAATACAAGTTTTAAAAACTTGCCTCAAAGTTGGTCATTCTTTGCTCCCAAAATAATCTACCTTTAGTTTTAGTGTAATATGTATATGTTTCCTTCATTTTGGGTTTATATCTTAATGTATACATACCTATACGTCTGAAGCCAAAAATTTAAAAAAACCCTGACCTGAAAAATTAGTACAAATAATGGTTTTCACATATTAATGCTCAAATTTACGATTTTTAAGTGATAGTCGAAAATCGTGGTTCAAACTGTCGTATATAAATTCGGCATGATCTTAAGCTAATTAACCCAAAAATGTTTAAGTTGATAGCCCTTCACAAAAAAAGTAGCTAGGAAGTTAAATAAGTTAAAATCAACTTTGAGTTACAACGCTGTTACTAAAAGGACTATAGAAACAAACGACTCACGGCATTGATTTCTACATTGAAAAGTGCCTAAATAATGCTAAAGCCATTTTGTTCTAGCTTCAAAAATACAGGAGTTACAGCAAATAGAAGGAATCCGCCATTTTTCAGTTTTTTTCTATAGTGAAAAAAACAAAAGACGGCAGCTTATTTCTGGCAATGGTAATGGAATAAGCATGAAAAAGGAGGTCCCTGTAGTGTCCCAGCTTTAGATAGACAAAGAGTGTGGACTCAGCTTTAGAACGGGAACGGTAATGGCCGACAATAAAGAGTGACTGTCTTTTTATTTTAGATTCCACACGATTGCTTGAATTAACAGGATGTAACAAACATCACATTTTGGCGACGAGAATTAATAACATTTGTATACGTTTTTCCTGTGTGAGATGAGAATCCATAATGGAGTTCCTAACAGCACCAGTCCCAATTTTTAACATGCAAGATGATGCAAGCAGCATGGGCAGCCGGTGGGAAAAATGGTTGAACAGATTCGAGAACTATTTGTTAGCAGCCGGGATCGATAATGAGGAAAGGCAGAAGGCAATGTTGTTGCATTACGCAGGTGAGCAAGTGCATGATTTATTCCTAACACTCCCAGATATAACCGTAAATCCTACCGAAACTCCAGCTCCTTCAGCATACCTTGTAGCAAAACGCAAACTAAACAAATATTTTCACCCTAAAGTAAACAGAGAATTCGAAATATTTAATTTTCGGCAATGTAAACAAGAGGAAAACGAGGTTATTGATACATTCTACACAAGATTGTTAAAATTATCAAAAACCTGTAGTTTCACCAACACCAACGAAGAAATAAAATCACAAATAATCATGAAGACGAAGTACACTCAACTTAGAAAATATGGTCTAACCGAACAACCAAGTCTAGACGATTTGTTAGCGAGAGGTCGAACAATCGAAGCAACAAGAAAACAATTAGCAGCCATCGAAGATGAACACAAACAAATAGAAAAATGCAATCGCATGCACCAAAATAAAAACAGAAGCAACACGAGTCAGAAAAACAGAAATCCGGATCAAAACAGAGATCATCAGATACAATCAAAATGTAAGAACTGTGGAGGAACCTGGCACACAAACGGAAGACAAAGTTGCCCAGCATACCAGCTTAATTGTAGGTCTTGTGGGAAAATAGGGCATTTCGCAAAAGTTTGCATGTCAAAAGGAAACCAAAGACCACAACACAACACGAGAAACTCAAGAACACACACTCAAAGAGCAAGAGTGAATTTCAATGAAACCCAAAACCAAGAAGAGTTCAACAGTGACCACTCAGAGACATCATTCCAGATCACAACAATACAAAAGGTAAATAAAGTCAATCTTCCGACAACGCAAGTAAAGCTAAATGGTACATCGGTTGATTTCATCATTGACACGGGATCTTCTATCAACTTAATCAATGCCGAAACTTACAAAAACTTAGGCATACACAAATTGTTACCAGATAATACAACCATCCTGCCATACAACACAATGAAGCGACTTGAACTTGTAGGAAAATTCAAGGGTAAATTCGTACACAACAAAAGCGAAACAGAAGCAGATGTATATGTAGTTCAAGGAGATGGAGAAGCATTACTCAGTTATGAGACATCTGTGAAGCTGAACCTCATACACGTTTCACTTAATAACAAAACAATCTCGGAAATCAGTTTGAGCGAATACCCAAACCTAACCAAAGGTATAGGAAACCTTAAACATGTAAAAGTGATGCTACACATCGATGAAACTATAACACCCGTAGCTCACAAACACAGGAGGATTCCCATACATTTAAGGAAAGCCGTCGAAGCAGAGCTTAAACGTCTGGAACAACAAGATATAATTGAAAAGGCAACAGGTCCCACACCATGGGTATCTCCGATCGTAATAATACCCAGGACTAGCAACCCAAACCAAATCAGGCTGTGCGTAGACATGCGTGAAGCAAACAAGGCGATCAAACGAGAACGACATCCAACACCAACTATAGATGACATACTATCGGAGCTAAACGGAGCAACAACATTTTCCAAGATTGACCTAAAAGATGGGTATCACCAACTAACACTTCACGAAAATTCAAGATACATCACAGTCTTCTCAACACATGCAGGACTGTACCGATATAAACGTTTAAGCTTCGGAATCAACTCTGCAGCTGAAATCTTCCAAAATATAATACGTCAGACCCTTATCAACATTCAAGGAGTTATAAATGTCAGTGACGACATATTGATATATGGAAAATCAAAGGAAAAACATGATCAAGCATTACGAATAGTACTAGAACGTCTAAATGCGAACAATTTAACTATTAATTTGCGGAAATGTGTTCTGAACAAGGACAAAATAAAATTCTTTGGTTACGTATTTTCGAAAGATGGCGTACATCCAGACCCTGAAAAGATAAAATCCGTTGTAAACTTAGAAACCCCTACGAATGTACACGAAGTTCGTAGTTTATTAGGAATTCTAAATTACGTAGGAAAATTTCTACCTAATTTGGCAACAAACACACAAGTGCTAAGAGAATTAACAAATAAGAGAAAAAAGTGGGAGTGGAGCGATGCACATGAAAAAGCCTTCAAATTTTTAAAGAAGCAACTAAGTAATGCACAAAAATTAGCCTATTTTGATGTTAACAAAAATACTCACCTTTATGTAGATGCAGGACCAATAGGACTTGGAGCGATATTATCGCAAGAAGCAAACAACAAAACTGAAATAATAGCTTATGCAAGTCGGACGTTAACACAAGTAGAACAGCGCTATAGTCAGATAGAGAAGGAAACTCTAGCAGCAACATGGGCAATACAGCATTTTCACATCTATCTATATGGAACAACATTTACTCTACACACTGACCATAAACCCCTTCTCAGCATTCTAAGTAATCCACAATCATCTCCAAGCGCAAGAATTGAACGTTTGTGCCTAAGGACGCAGCCCTATCAATTCAAAATAGTACACCAACCTGGAGTATCAAACCCATCAGATTATTTATCGAGACATCCTACCACAGACGAAGGGATAAACAAAAATGACAAAATAGAAGAATATGTCTACTTCATTGCACAAAACAGTATGCCGAAAACAATGACTGTCGAAGAAGTTAGGCAAAAAACCCAAGAAGATGCACTTTTGAACAAATTAAAAGAAGCGCTACAGAATAACGACTACAAACTATGGGAAAACCCACAACTAAAACCGTACAAATCTATAAAAGAAGAATTAACAATTTACCAAGGAGTAGTACTAAGAAAAAATCGAATCTTAATTCCAACATCCATGCAAGAAAGAGTTATACAACTGGCACATAAAGGACATCTAGGAATTGTAAAAACAAAACAGTTGTTACGCACTAAAGTATGGTTTGCCAACATGAACGAAATGGTTGACAAATATGTCAAAAGCTGCCATGCTTGCCAAGCGGTAACACCTTTCAAACAAAGAAATCCACTTGAGACAACTGAAATGGCTAGTCACGCATTTGGAAGCGTTGATGTTGACTACGCAGGACCATTTCCAAATGGTAAATATGCTTTCTTACTAATAGATGAATATAGTCGATTCCCAATTGTTGAAATAATTCCATCAACAAATTTCAAACATTTGAAAGCAATTTTGGACAAAACTTTCGCCATATTTGGAATCCGGCAGAAACTCAAATCAGATAATGGACCCCCATTCAACGGGAAAGAGTTGAAAAGTTACTTAAGTTCAATGCACATAAAGCATCACCCGATAACACCGTATTGGCCAGAAGCAAATGGAGTAGCCGAAAGATTTGTCAAAACACTCAAAAAGTCTCTCCTATGCGCATTCTTGGAAACACATGACATGGAAGCTCAATTGCAAGAATTTTTGATCAACTACAGAAGCTCACCACATCAAACAACAGAGAAATCACCATACGAACTCATTTTCAACAGAGAAGTCAATACATTCTTACCATCTATAATACAAACCGGAAACTCAAACTACAATCCGTCAATTGAACATACAAAGAGGGAAACACGAAACAATAAAGCAAACATAAAACGTAGAACAAAGCCACACACTTTTACATTAGGAGATAAAGTTCTATGTAAACAAATTAAACACAACTCACTAACACCGTATTATGACCCCTATCCATGGAAAATAACCAGAATCACAGGTGCTCAAATCGAGGGAGAAAGAGAAGGAAGGAAGATAATCAGAAATTCATCTTTCTTTAAATCATTCATACCAAGAACAAATCCTTCAAACCCTAATAGTCCTTCTTTAATCACTTCACCCAATCCCAATGAATCAGACACTCTCACAAACACAAGCCTAACAAAAACTACAAAAATATATGAGACGCCACCAAATGGAACCATCCAGGAGCAAGAGACCAGTGAAAATTCAATGTCAACCGGAACAATGAGAACCAGACCATCCATAGCCCCAAGTAATCGGACTCCAACACCAATCGTGACACCATCGACATCAGGTCATGAAGCCCAAGACATTCGACACCCCGAAGCAAGCCCACCATCGTTTTCTAACAGACCCAAGCGGCAAACAAAGACTCCCGGACACTTTAAAGACTATGTAGTGACTAAATATTAATCGAACACTCTTATGTCCTTAGTTCAGTAACATGTTAATTAGTTATAACATTTTAAGTTGTATTTTGAATGTTTTAATGTTATCACATAATTAGAACTTGGGAGGAATGTAGTGTCCCAGCTTTAGATAGACAAAGAGTGTGGACTCAGCTTTAGAACGGGAACGGTAATGGCCGACAATAAAGAGTGACTGTCTTTTTATTTTAGATTCCACACGATTGCTTGAATTAACAGGATGTAACAAACATCACAGTCCCTAGTACTTACTTCAACCGTTTTCGTTTATCATGCGCTAATATAAGAAAGTTACTCATTTAATCCCATCGAAATTGGATCACACTGTACTCCTAACTTGCGTCTTGCTTGCCAGTTGCATTTTTATCAAGTCACGTGCAAAGCATGTGTAACTATATAACCATTTAATGAAAAATTAAGGTAACGTGCAATATCACAAGACAAAAAGATTTCGGTGAGATTGCAGCGATTGCGATAGGTCTGCGGGGATTGCGGCGTGATTTCGGCAGGATTGCATCAGGGAATTCGGTCTGGTTGCGGAGAATTTCGACGAGAATAAGGAACAAAACGTACACTGAACTTGGCAAGATTGTGGAGATTTCAGCGAGATTTTGGTGAGATTTCTAGGAAATAGGAGTAATTTCCGTGAATTCGGCAGGATTGCGAGGAATTCGGCCTGATTTCTGAGGATTTCGGGAGATTGCGGTGAGATTTCGGGACAAATGTACAGTAATTTGGGGAGTGGTACCTGTGAAATCCAATTGAAAAAATTATCAAAGTCCTCGTGTGAGATCGAAGGGACTTCAGCGCATTTTTGTGTGGCAGATCAGTATTCCATTAGCCAATTTCGACTCAACCATCAATAAAAGATCTTGTCGCAAGCCACCACATTCGCTTTGTCGGTACCTACTAGCTTCCCACTTTCCACGTGCACCCGCAATTCGCGTTTAAAATTTTGACTCCATCATCAGTAAAATCTTGTCGAGGGCTACCATATTTCCTTTGTCGGTATCCACTTCCGATGTCCCGTTCCCTTCCAATGCGCGTTTGAAGATTTGACTTCACCATCAGGAAGTGTCGAGGGCTACCACATTTCCTTTTTCGGTGCATACTTATATTACACCCACATTTTGGTGGATTTCGCTAAAAACCTTCCACAAGGTGGTAATTAATTTTTGGGGCACTTCTCATTGCTCGAGCTTCTAGTGGCGACACGAGAAAGAGAGGCAGCGATTCGAGATTTACGAAACGTTAAACCACGTGACAAAATTTGCAACGGAACGTAAAAGGCGCCCGAAGTAGACTACCTCTCGAAGACGCGCGCGCGCATTGCAAAAGGTCGTTAATTTCGCCCCTAGGGCAAAAAATAAAATTCCGCCACGCAGGAGTTGTGCGCGTTTACAACATCTTCCGACGACACCAATTTGAAAAGAATCGGACCAAAACTGTAGTAGAAGATAGGAAAAAACTGAAAAACCTTCACGTTAGTACACTACGCTCGAGGATGACGCCCAGAAGTCGCCAACCCCACATCATGTAGCCCTGTCCCTAAGGTTGACAAATTACACGGCCTTGTAGATACACGTACACCCGTTGCCTTTCTACAAGAGTTCTTCTACGAGCCCACATTTGCAGCCAACCAGCCAGCCAGCCATCCAACCAGCCAGCCAGCCAGCCAGCCAAAGTGAGATTAAAACTACTTTTTACAAATAAATTTGCAAAAATGCGCTAAAAAGGGCGATCACCAGCACCACACACGTATAATGAATAATAATGAGTGAATATTTAATTAAACAAAAAATAAACTTTTACATTCTTGACACACTATATTCTATGGTAATGTTACTCACTAACTGCTGCCAACTTCCTAACTACTAACAACACTAAACTAATAATTTCATTGTATTTCACACACCCCTTCAATGAAATTATTTGATATTCTAAGAAATCATTAAATACAAAAAAACAAGCCTAAATATTAAGTCCTAACTTAAGTCCAAATTCTAACATTTTAATTTTTGACAAAGGCTTTGTAAAACCATCAGCCAGTTGCTTTTCAGTTTTAATGTAAACGATTTTAATTAAACCATTGTGTTTTCTCTTTAATAAAGCAATATTTTATTTCGATATGCTTAAGCCTTTTGTTGTTTTCTGGGTTCATTGCAATCTTTATAGCTGACTGGTTGTCCTCAAAGATTGTAGTTGCCTCATTTGATAAACAAATAGATAAATCGGATAAAATTTTTCTCACCCAACAGACTTCACTAACAGCTAAAGTAAGCGCAACAAGTTCGGATTCTGTTGACGATATCGCCACTGACTGTTGTTTTTTACTAGCCCAAGCGATACTACAACCATAAAGTTGAACAAGATAACCTGAAGTTGCTTTTCTGTCCAAAACATCTGCACCCCAGTTTGCATCAGCATAACTACACAAAGTATCAACAAATTGGTACTAGTTTTGAAAATTAATTTTAGATTCAAAGTTTGCTTAACATATCGAGGCACTCTTTTCAAAGCTTTATATAAATGTTCGTTTGCCTTATCTTGGAACCTACTCAGCGTCGTTACGCTGTTACATAAATCCGGCCTAGTGACCATTACAGCATACATAAGGCTCCAATTATTTGACGACATTTTTTAATCAATTTTTCATCAATTTCACCTTTAAAGGTATTAAAATCAAAATTTGTATCAAGTGGTGTTATCATCGGTTTACAATTTAACATATTATACCTTTGCCAAACTTGCGTCAAATAATTGGTTTGATCTAATTCTGTGTAACCCAGTTCCAAACATTGTTTAATATTTATGCCTAGATCTTGCGAAATGTTACCTAAATCTTTCATAGAAAATTTTTTATGAAGCATTATCTTAATATTATTGACTGCTACCGAATCTGTGTCTAATATTAAAATATCATCTACATAAAGTAAGATAAAGATTTTGCTCTGAATATCATCTCTATCTGTAATTTTTATATATAAGCAAAAATCATTTTCTGATCTAGTAAACCCTTCCTTTTTCATCAACACATCAAATTTTGTGTTCCAACATTTTGGTGATTTTTTCAGACCATAAATTGACTTGTTCAATTTCCAAACAGTACTAGTATTATTCCTACTCTTACCTGGAAGTGACATGTACACCTCCTCAGTAATGTCACCATATAAGAAGGCGCTATATATGAACATCCATTTGCCATATGGGTAATTTCCAATGGTTTGCTAATACTAACAAAATTCTAAACGTGCACAATTTGGCTACTGGAGAATAAATGTCATATAAATCGTCCCTATTTTCCTGTTGAAAACCGCGGGCCATTAGTCTGGCTTTATATTCACCATCATTTTTAATTTAAAAAACCCACCTACTTTCTAAAACTTTTTTTATCAAATGGCCATGACACTTCACTAGACACATTATTTAACTTTAATGCACCTAGTTCCTTTTCCATAGCTTCGTCCCATTTTCGATGGTCTTCCTGAATAGTAATGTCTTCTTCTCTCATCTGCTCTTCTGACACACTAAAAAAACTGATTTCATAATCTTCCATCCATCGTGGGCGCTGTCTTGTCCTTCCTCTCTGCTGATCCTTGTAGCAAACCCTTTCATATCGCCCGAATCGGTTCAGTCGTGTAGACGTGATACGTGTAACGAACGGACGACAAGAGTCGTGTTTTTGTATTCCAAAAGAGAGCGGTTCGCATTAGATTTGAACTGGATTAGCGCGAGCCATATCGTCCAATATTTATCACAAACCATATTAACACGTTTCCTTGCTTGTATATCTACGTCATATGAAATATTAGTGTTTGTACCATAAAAAAATCTCATCACAAAATACATCTCATCAATAATTATAGTACTCGGTTATGGAACTAACTTACAATATAAAACAAGATAGGTACGAAGAATCGCATACGATTTTCAGTAGGGGAATTTTTTGCCACTCAGCTCGTATTCGGAAATTACACGGACAGATGGACAAAACCATCACTTAAGGGAAATTTTTTTATTTCGAAAAATTCCCCTAAAAACGCATAATCTCAAAGTGTATAAAACAAGTTGGAAAGTACCTACTCGATGCGTCGAGCTACTTAAGCGCGTTTTTGTGCGACGACGGATCGAAGTTTTATTTCCGCTGACATATAATCACAGATTTATGTTTAAATCTGTGGTATTACTATGTGATGACTGATAAGGCATTCGGTCAAAGGTTTTTGTTAGGTCAGTGTATATTACATCTGTCTGAACCCAAGGATACTATATAATATAAGGATTGCTCGATCCCTATACTTGTAATGTTGCCCAAGTTTAAGTCATATGTGACGTCACCAACGGACCCGGCTGTCAGAATTGACAGTTATCTCGTACTGCACGAGTGTTGCACGAGAAACTGAAGAAATCCATATGAAAATTGCTCTCAATGGAACATAAATATTCGTAAATATTTGTTGTCATTTGTCCATAACCTCATTTTAGATTTAGGTAATCGACAAATCTCTATTCTAAAAAAAAACGATTTCAGTATTATTTATGATAAACGATGAGGAATATAAATTTGAAATACCTGTAAAGGACCAATTTTTGTCGTTCAGTTTAATGAGTAAGTGCAACTTTTTGTAAAGTAGAAGTTTTGGCTAGTTCATCATCTTCGCTATCGCTAGATGACGAAAAAAACTCTCCCAACGCAAGAAACAAATTCAAATTGTCGCACGTTTGTTTTGAAAATTTGTTAAGTAGCAGCTCCACGAGCTCTCGGACCTCGTGCGTCGAAATTTGCACTCAGTGCGTAATTGTTGGATCATATTTGCCAATGGAACACAGAAAATTGCCCTAAAATTACCAATAGAACGTAAAAATTGCACTCGTGCAGCACGAGTTTTGCCAATCGAAAACGCTATAACTTTCATAATTATGAACCGATTTCAACCAAACTTTAAGGAGTGGTGTAACTCATAAATATCTTGGCCGGTGGTGAATCAGCCAATTCTGCCAAATTGGAACAAAATTACATTTGTATACTGTCAATACAATATAAAGATTTACGGCCGGTATGATAATGCATATAGTTAACTATGTTGTTAAAAGCATGTGATTGGATGCTTTTCAAAGAATTATTCATTCTTTTAAAAAACATGCAATCACAAGCCTTTAACAACATGGTTAGCTATGCTTTATAATACCTGCCAAGATTATTTTTTAGTTATCAATAGTATAGTTCCTATATATTTTAATTGATTCAATTATAACTAGCTATTAAAGTTAAAATGATTTAATTGGCAGAAGGGAACACATGTAAAATACAAACACACAGATGTGTTTATAAAAAACTGTTTTTTTTTAATTACAGGAAGATCTATCTTACAGTTCATAGTTTATAAATGTACAAAAAAGGTGCTTAATTTATTCCTACAGTATGGTCCTTTATTTGGCTTTCTTTTCAACCTTCTTCTTTGATTTGAAGCTAAGATATAAAGAAAGCAATAAACCCAAAACAAATGTTGATAAACCTAATTGCCACAACCAGCGATTTTGTCTTAAATAATCTGCAATCATGGCAGTGAAATCATCACTAAAAAAAGAATTATTTCCCATCTTATATGATTTTAATTAAAGTACCACTTACAATGGAGCCTTTGGTAATGGGATTTTCTCTCCTTTCAAATTTTTGTACCAGTCCTGAGCAAATGATACAAACGAAGGTACGTCATATTTGTGTATTTGATATTTGTACATTTTTCCCTGGCGGAATAAAATAAAGGTGGGAACATCCACAACGTCAAATCTACGAGCAGTAGCTCCTCCAGCACCTCCTTTGTTGACACATGCTACATTCATTCTTGTTTTTAGCTGCGCTCCCACAGCTTCCCAGCGGGCTTGTAGCCTTTGACAATCCACACATTCATTGGTATAACTAAAATGAATAAAAAATTGCTATGCACACCACTATAGAGTATATGTAGGTACATACAATCACCAAATTAAAATAACTAATTTAAATGTACGGTTAACAAATAGATTGACTTTAATTAAAGCACTTACAATAGCTATTTGTGTATTAAGAGCGCAAAATGATATATTGTCGATTGAAAGAGACAGTTGACGCGCGACGAAGGAGCGCGGCAATCTCTTGAAATCGACAATCAATTTGCGCTCGAATTACACACAAGGTTTTTTCTACAATCGAGCAGTTCACATATTTCCAAAAATTTAAATTTTTCACTCAAATCATTTTAATCTTATGCCCAAATGAAAGATGTCATTTACTCGTTGTCATTGGATACTCTGAGCAATGCATATTTGATTTATAGTTAATAATTGGGAGAGCGAGCGTTTTTTCTATTTTGTCGCTTATAAGCGACAAAGTGACATTCCTCGAAAAAGATGACGTTTGCGTTGTCAAATACGAGCGCAAATGCCTACTTTGGATATCGATTGTAGAAAAATATATTAATGCAATTTTTTACTTGAAATACCTGCTTTACTACTGTGTGGTTTAGCGATAAAATAAATGAATCAATAAGAAGTAAATCTTACAACATAACAAGCCAGTCTCCAGTTGTTGCACCTGTAGATGCCTGGGTTAAGTGTTCAAACGTGTCATCGGTCAATTCCTTGACAGTTGGTTCTTTATTAGCTGTGAAGGTATGCAATATAAGATCATCAATGACAGGCCCTACATTTCAAAATGGCATTAATTCTGCAGGTTTGCTACGTCATTTTACCTTCATAAAGAAGAGGAGTACCATGACGGAAGAAAACAAGTGCAGGTTCATTGCTAGGATTGTAAAGTCTTACTAATTGACTAGATATCGCTTTCACTACCCATGCATTAAGGGAATCAACTAGATCTTCTCGTAATGCTGTCAATTCATTTTCATAGTTCTCGCAGGTATCACAATCTTTTTTGGCTACAAGAAATAATTAATTAACATAATTAGCAAGTTAAAAAATGCATACTGAATAGTACAATCACATAGTTTTCAGTTCTGATTAAATTCACAAGTTCTTCATCATTCACAATCTCAAGTTTTGCTGAAGAAAGTGAAATAACTGCAGCAAATACTGATATAAATAAAATTTTAAACATTTTGATCATCAAATTAAAAATATTGCATAAAGATGATAACCCCACAACTAGCAAACATCATTTTACTGAATTCATCAACGTGTTACGTGGAGTTTTTTGAATAAGTTCATTTTTATTATTTAAAAATTTGATGGCACCAGGGGATATTATTTATACTACGTGAATAAGTTTTATACATGTCAAATTGTCTAAAGCCGTTTTTCACTAAAATTTGTATAATAAAACTCAATAAAGTTCTCCAAAAATTACGTCTAAAATTCAACCCGTAAAACATGTAACACTTGCTTTCAATTGTTGACTATTGTAGTACTTGTAGTTGCAGTGACTGTATAAAGACCATTGAGTTAATGAAGGGAATCAAATACTTGGCCAGACGTAGACCACGGGAACCAAAAGTGGCCTCTAACTGTGATTAAAGTACCACACGACTTCCGTTATCATTACCGTCTCACTTCAGTGGCGTAGAGATATAATTTTCTTTCCACTAATAGGAATAAGAACAAAAAAAAACGTATAGGAGTAAAATACATGCTCGTGGTAAAGTAAACAAAATAGACAAGGATGAGAAAGTATGCAGATTTAATATAATCATTGATTACAAATCTAAATATACATCGATGTGTTCCATTAATATAATTAAGGCCAGTTTACTATAGCCACTACAACTTGACAACTCCCATTAAATTCACTGTGTTGATCAATAGCTACAATTGATTGGTTGGTCTCAGGTTCATTACAAGTTTTGATAGTACCTACTGCATATTTCCATATTTGACGAGATATTTGATGAACATTTTCCGGTGCAACCTTTGGTCGAAATCACAGTCAATGAAGCGTTGTGAGCACAAAAGTAAATTTCGAGAGCTGTTCTTGAGATATATTTACAAATGTAATATTACCATTTTGCTCGAAGTACCGGTTCGTTTGGAAAACTAAGAAACATAAACTAGGTACCTACAACCTCGCCTAACACCTATTAATTAATAAATCACGTTGTTATAATGAATTTTTTGAATGCTACTATCTGAAAAACTAGAACGGAAAATAACCGTTATGGACCGAAAAAATGCGCAGAACCGAACTGTTATTTCTTTTTAGAACCGAAACCGAACCGGAACCGTTATAAATATTTTCGCTTAAATATCAACAGAACCTGAACCGCTATTTCGTTTAATAATAATAATAATAATAATAATGGTTTTTATTGGTTAAATAATGGTTCCTACACCATAACCAATGGGCACAAGGTCAGGTAAACCCGTTGATATGGTCACCTGTTCTTCCCCTTGAAACCCCCTTGTGTAAATACAAATAAGTAAATAAAGTTATTCTGCATTAGTTAAAGTTATTTGTAAAGTAAACAATTATTGACAGGCAGCTTATCGTTTGGAGATGCAACGGAAACATCGTAGTGGTTTCAATGACGTTCGCATTAACATTCGCTCTCTAATGATTCGATGTTTAATGTTTCTTTTGAAGACTGCACCAGGCAGATACAGTAATTTTGTATTTTTGGGGTTGTTGCAAAATTTACAGATGTTGAATAAGAAAGATCGTTTGAATAATGATAATTTAAACATAGGAACAGATAGAAGTCCCCTGTGCCTCAAATTTAAGTGGTGCACGTCTGTACGAAAGGTAATTTTGCGATAGAGATACGGGGGAATTTTACTGTTTAAAATTTTATGAAAAAATAAAGAAGAGTGAACTAGCCTTCTTTCCATCATATTGAGCCAGCCTAGCATTGGTAAGGTATGTGAAATCCGTTCGAACTTCCTAATTCCAAATATGAAGCGCAAGCATGAATTTTGGACACGCTGGATTCTATCACAGTCTTTGAGTAATAAGCACGGTCCATATACCACGTCACAATAATTGAACCGTGATAGAACCAGTGCATCACAAAGAACAGCCTTCTGCTTGATGCCAAGAATGTGACGACTAGAATGCAAGCATCTTAACTGATAATAAGCCGAAGCAATAAGGTTGTCAATGTGCTTAGTAAACCTTAATTTACAATCAATAGAAATGCCCAAATTTTTTACACAATCGGCTATTGGGACAGGTTGGTTACCAATTTGCAAGATTATTTTGCCTTGAATGTGCTTTTGAAGTTTATCGCTACAAAACACGATGAAGCAAGATTTAGTTGCATTTATTTTCAAAGAGTGATTATCCGATGCCTTGGCTACCCTTGCAAGATCTTCGTTGATCTTTGCCACAGAGGAATTCAATTCACTAAAAGGAAACGAATGATATAGCTGTACATCATCAGCATAGAGATGATACTTACAATCGTTTAAACCAGACAACAAGTTAAAGGTGTAAAGAGTGTATAACAAGGGTCCAAGGATAGATCCCTGAGGAACACCCCTTGTAACAGGCACAAGATCAGAATGCACGTGATTTAAAATCACTTTCTGGCATCTACCAACGAGATAGTTTTGTATAAGGGCCACAGCCCCATCGCCCAGTCCCACAAACCTCAGTATAGCCTTAAGCACTTCATGACTAAGCAAGTCAAACACTTTTGAGTAGTCAAGGAGTACCAATACTGATATGTTTCCACAATCAGTTTCCGTAATGATATCATCGAGTACGTTGTACACTGCAGTAGCACAACTATATCCCTTACGAAAACCTGATTGAAGTACGGGTAGTATGCTACGTGAATTTAAAAATTGTCGTAATTGACTTTCCAATACTTTCTCTAGCACTTTAGATAAGGTGGGTAATATGGTGATGGGTCGAAGATCGTTATAACTTTCAGCATGTGCTTTTTTTGGAATAGGTATAACCCATCCTTCTTTCCACACAGTAGGAAATATTGAAAACTCAATGCAATAATTGACTATGTGCACTATGTGAGGCAATAAGTGCGGGGAACACAATTTCAAAATATGAATATTTATACCGTCACAACCACTAGCTTTGGATGTCATTTTATTTAAGATCTTTTCAATTAGTGTCGTATCTATTAAAGAAAATGAGAACCTAGCTGGGTCTCTATCGTAGCAGCTATTATTATAATAATTTATAATGTCAGGATTATCACACACACTGTTAACGTGTTCAACAAAGTACTTGTTAATTTCGTTGACATCTTGCAAATTAGATGGGATAGTTTTATCGCTAGATCCGGGTCCCTGGTTTACAGGTTAATTTCTACCAATCTGGTCACGGTGTAATTGGTCGAAACATGGCGGATATCCCAACTACTAATAGAAAATAACCCGCATGACCCTCACTGAAATCAATATTTCTGTGATGACCTTTTGTTTATTAATCAAAGGTATGACTTTCTGGCTCTATAGCCAATTAAACACCGAACTAAATAAATACTTAAATAGCCAACTACAGTGCCACCAAGCTGAGAAAGTCCGCGGAAAATGTGCAAACTAATTTTGAAATTGTTTGAATAAGCCTGAGTTTATTAGCAATACCAAAAAACTTTTGCTTTTATACTTCACCCATTTTAGGCCGCTCCTACATTGGAAGCAGAATTTCTCTTGACCAGACGGTCTGAGTATGTGGTCTGGTCGGGTATGAAAAAAACAAACAAATGACGCACCATCGCCCCTCCTACACTGAAGCTGAAGCCAGTCCACGTTCCGGGGAGAAGGGTCGGGTATTTAAGGGGGCTAGGGATAGAGGATAGGCAACACACAATGGTCACTGAAATTTGCAATAAAAGTCGAAACTTTTGAGTAATTTTTGAAGCCCAAATATTAATTCTAACTAGAGGTCTTATCGGAAATTGATAGAGATATAGAAAGTCATTAAATGTAGCGATTTATTTTTTTGATAAAATTATTTATAAGTCGTGTATAAACGATAATCTTGAATTTACTAAGAACGCGAATACTGGCCTTAGTAAAAAAAATAGCAAGTCTTTCTGTGGGCGAAATTGCTTCACGAAAACACGAATTTTGTTTATGTAAATCCGGTCCAATTGATTTTAATAAATCAAAAAAATTGTATTGCGGCATCCTAAAATATTGATAAAACTTGTCGTCATACTTTAACAAGTTCTTGAACAATGTCCAATGCTCCCCTTCAATTTTTGTATGTTTTAAAATTGGATGTACCCATTTTCGCCCCTTTTTTTTCTTTTTTAGCCCTTCAGCTTCTTCCTCATCTAACAGCAAGGCTACAAAAGCCAAATCATCGTCACTGGATGACTCGTCCATAACCACTGCCTACGTGACTGCTGAAATTTGTCGGTGTAGTGTGAATGCTACGCAAAAATTGTCGTGTCGTTGACGGTACGTATCGGTGCCGGAACGTGTCGGTCCGTGTCGTATAATGTGAATCGACCTTAAGTCGTGTATAAATGATAATCTTGAATTTACTAAGAACGCGAATACTGGCCTTAGTAGAAAAAATATTTAAAAAGTAAATCCGCACAATTTATTTAGTAACTAAATGGATTAAAAAAATATATTACGAACTGCTTCAAATTATGAAATAAAACGTAATTTTTACTCAAAAGTTTATATAAAATATAGCGACGGAAGAAATGCAATACCTTCCATACAATGACGATAGGCAACTCAGGTAGCACTTTTACCTGGAAAATATTAACACCTAATGACCATTATACTTATATACAATGGTTTATGACCCTATTAGACCAGTAACAGAAGAATCTCAATGCCTTCCATTTATTCGTCTATTAGTACCAACGATAATTGACCGATAATTAAAACAAGTTGTAAATCAGCATATGCATGATTAAAGCGCATTTTTGGTCATGCAGGTCAGTATTTTATTAGCGAAGTTTAAAATTATCGATCTCACGAGTAATTTTGGCTGCGTTAAATAATTAATTTTATTTAATTTCAATTGACGGTATGTCTTCATTTTGTAAAACAAATCATAAGGTAGGTAAATAATAAGTTTTTATACTGGTAGCGCTATCTAACGGTAAAATTATAGCACCTCCGAAACCCATATCGAAATTATTTTCTTCAATTATCGATCTCACAAGTAATCTAACTCAAAATAGACTAGTGCCTGCACATCCACACTATAGCAGAAAGCTTTTTGTGAAAATTTGAATTCTCTAGCTATTGTAGTTGTGGAGATCTCACGCGGACAGCCGGCCTGCCAGCAATAACGAATATAATAGCGTATTTTTTTCAAAAATGCGCTAAAAATATTATACGTCAATAAATGTAATATTCAGGAGTAACAACGTTTTAATTTTTTAGACCCGTTTCATACATTTTTTTCATACATTTGATGTAGGTGTATTGTTACCTAAATACCTACTTACCAAAAAGCAATTTAATAATATCGATTACATAAAAATTATGTACAATTTGGACGATGTACCTATTATAGATAAACATAACGAATTGTTTGTTGTCGGCACCTTCTTGAATCTAGCAGCTCTGTTAAAAAACTGTTCATACAAAAATTGATAATCTTGTGTCTTACATACTTTAGGTGACAAATCTCAACGAAAATTTCAAACAGCAATTTTGTCGACCAATGAAATGCGGATTACGTGTCACATTTCCATGGCAACCAAAGAATTTATCGGCAATTTTTTAACGTAAAAATGTAATAATGTTTTGACATAAAACGTCACGTTTTCGTTGAGGATGATTATGGTGTGAAATTTTCTTACCGAATACCACAGGTGCTTGAATAGAATTTTTTTCTTGCTCATGAATATTTTGCGAAAGTTGTGAGCTCGAAAAGTTTCCGGAAATCACTAGTAGTATTACAAGTGATAATTTTTTATTTCAGCATGTCGTTAGTAAAAAATTGTCAAAGTCCTCGTGTGAGATCTTGTCGAAGCTACCACATTCCCTTCGTCGGTACTCGCGTCCGACGTCCCGTGCATCCCCAATTTGCGTTTGAAGTTTTACTCCACCATCAGGAAGATCTTGGCGGGGGCCACCACATTCCCTTTCTCGGTACCCACTTCCGACGTCTCGCTCACCCGCAATGCGAGTTTGAAGTTTTTACTCCATCATCAGTTTTCAGATTGTTTTCAAAATGGTGCCGTTGGAAAGATCTTGAAAACGGACACAACAACTGCGTGGCGAAAATTTGTTTTTTTCCTGGGTACGAAATTAACCTCATTTTACAAGGCGCGCGTCTGCGAGGGGTAGTTCACTTAGGGTGCCCAAAAGGTATCTTCCTCTGGAATTTTGTTTCTGAAAGCTCGAATCGCGATCTCTCTTTCTCGTGTGGCTAATAGAGCTATTAGTTCGAGAGCTGGTAGACATTTTTGGGTAGGTATTTGAGGCACGCGGAAAACTTGTCCACCACTTCTCCAATAATAGCCAAACACAGAAATGCAGACCTGGCTGAGGAGTGCCAAGGGACTCTTGATTTGAAGTGTATACTGGTCCAAGGTTAATAGAGAACCTTGATACTGGTCGCAATAAATACATGAACACCTAGTGTACTTTGATCACTTTTGACGAAAGTTTCAGGAGAATTGTCTTTATTTCGGCATAAGAAACGATGAAAATTTGAACATGATACAATTACAACTAAATCAGACGACACTAATAATGTGTAGATCATCCACTACTTCTTACGCATTCAGATACTCGACTGGGCATACATAATTTTTTCAAACTTTGAAGGCGCCTGGCAAGGTGTTAGCCCCGCTTCTCCTCAGCCAGGTCTGCATTTCTGTGTTTGGGTATTATTGGAGAAGTGGTGGACAAGTTTTCAGCGTGCCTCAAATACTTACCCAAAATGTCCACCAGCTCTCCTACTAGTGAGAAGTGCCCCAAAAATTGAGAACTATTTTGTGGAGAGTTTTTAGCAAAATTCATCTAAATGCGAATTGTGGGTGAACGGGACGTCGGAAGCGGGTACCGACAAAGGAAATGTGTTAGATTGCGATAAGATCTTTTTGATGGTGGCTAATACAATACTGATCTGCCACACAAAAATGCGCTGATCTCTCTTCGATTCCACACGAGGACTTTGATCATTAATCTACCTATGCTTTCGATAATTCCACTGTAGGTTTGACGGCTAGCCAAATAAACTATTTTCGTAAAGCATCAGGCGAATGTCGTGTTGGAATTGGAAAATTTCCGAAAATCTATTAAAACATTTTTTGTAATGAAAAATGAGTCATTTATTTTGTTGTAAATTAGATCAGAATTCAGATATATAATTTGATAAATGGGGGAAGGTTGAAAACGCAGCAAATACCGGGCTACATTGCGGAAGCCATGCGAAATATCGAAAACTGTTCATCTAATTGAAGAAAAGTACCATTCTTACATCCGCGCACCTGTGAAAATCGTTATCATATAGATTTAGAAATCTATGGGGCCGTAGTTTGATCGGATGTGATAATTGTTTAAATAAATTTGTGCTATGAACCACAAAAATTGAAGACCAGTTTTTCTTGTTTCGGAAATTGTTCCCTTCATTACCCAAGTTCAAATCTCAAAAAGTCATTATTGTAAATCCCTATATAGGAAGTAAGTAGGAATGATATCTTAGAAAGCATTAGTAATATTTTTATATAGGTATGTAGAGCTTTCAGCTTTGATTTCCTATTCTATATTCAAAGGTTTCCAGTATTAGTAAAACTGTAAAACATCAGGAGAAAGTTGAAATTCCATCTCAGTTACTTTTGTTGAATTGCCGCTAATGAGGGTCTGGAATCTGGTTTTATTGTAGGAAGATGAGGTCATTTGCAGGTAGCTTATGCCTGGTGATACTTGTCGAATTGCACGATTGGTTGCCTATATAATTATTTGCGTAGGCGCAGCTTAAATTTTGAATAGCCTGTCCCTAGCCGCCTTAAATATACCTAAGTATGGTGGCTCTTGTATCTTACTAATTACATTTTATAGTACATCAAATTCATGTCTTGGGCATTGAGATAATTTTGTTAATCTTGTTCCCAATGATCGTGGTGCATGAATACCGATTTTAACATGTTTTGATCAAAATCCATGTGTGTTGGAAAAATACATCAAATTCATGTTTTGGTTATTGACATAATGCTCTTGGTTTTTTTCCCAGCGATCTTGGTGTATAAATAAGGATTTTGACATGTTTTGATCAAAATCCATGTGGTCGTCAAAACTGCATCAGATTCATGTCTTGGGCATTGAGATAATGCTCCCAGTATTTTTCCCAAGGATCTTGGTGCATGAAAAACGATCTGACATGTTTTGATCAAAATCGGTGAGGCAGAATTTAACATTTTTGAATCACACCCACGCGGTTATCAAATGTGCATGTGATGTAGGTACTCTTTCGGCATCAAGATAATGCGTTTGAAACTCCAAATTCATATGTAAAGAATAGTTTTGGCTACATTTTTGATCTAAAACTTTTGACCTAGAGAACAGAGAAGAGATATATTGAATTGTTACACATCTAAGAGCCATAGGATATAATCTAGCGAAGTCCGAACTCGATACATGGCCTAGAGGGAATGGAATATGTTGATTTCTATTATATTGAGAACGCAGTTTTTCCTGTTCCCGATTCTCTCGCAGTCCTGTAACTTTGTTCCTGAAATTCGATAGCGTCCGTCTTTAATGTCCAAAGTACCCGTACACCAAATTTCAACAGAATCGGTCACATTTCAAAATAATTCGGATGCAGCGTGAAACGACAGAATTTGTAGACGTGCCGCCACTGTCTATATAAATTTAAAAGGTACAGTTACGCTACTGAACTAATACTAAAAAAAATGGCGGACATAACCTCGTTTATAAATGAGTTCTTCAATTTTTATAAGTATTTCAGTATTCTATGGTACCAATATGCTGCATGTTTGATAACCACAAACTACCATGTTAACATAAAAAATAAAGAAAATACTATTTGCATTGCAATAATACCTATCTTAAAGGAAACTACAACATGGATTACAAAGAGGAGCAAGCAGGTGAAATAGAAGCCCTTGAATCAATATATTATGGGGATGTTACAAGTAATTATATTGGAAATAAATTTTATACTTTAAATATATATCACTCAACTTTTATTTAGTTCTATCAACTGAACCATTTCATAAATTTAGTATTCCGATAAAGTCTGAAGAATATGATTCGGACGGAAAAAATGGCTTGGCCTGTAACTTGGTTTTTACATACACTTCAAAATACCCAGATGAACAACCTTCTATAGAAATTGAAGAACCGATCAATATCAACAATTCGCACCAAGAAGAATTATTGTTACAATTAAAACAGCAGGTTTTTTTGTATTGAAATTTTGTATAAATTCTTAAATTTTTTATTGCTAGGCAGAAGAAAATATAGGAATGGTAATGATATTCACGTTAGTCTCTTTAGCTCAAGAATGGGTAAATTTGAAATGGGATGATGTTAAAAAACAACAAGAAAATGAAAAATTACAAAAGGAGCAAGAACGTGAAGAAATTGAAAGGGTTTGTAGTGATATCTTTGTATGTACATCAAAATTATTGAATTTTAAGTAACCATTTACTTCCTGTATATAGTTCTTACTTCTTGATGAGTACTGAATAGTAGAAATGCATTAGGTTATCTTACTCGCAATACTAAATTTTTTTCACTACTAGCGTCTGATGACATGATTATTAACCTTTTTTCCACTTGTAAAGTAGGCTTTCTCGGCATTTGTTCAAAGTGGTTAATAATTTTTTATTATTAACTAGTAGTCAATAATGAGAACTGTCACGCTGTCACTTTTAGAAAACACAACCCGAAATTTCGCTCAATGAACGTTTAGACAAGTTCTCTAAAACGAATAATTGCCACCATTCGCAATTTCCAGAGAAATTACATACCTAAAATTATCACATTTTGAAAAAATTCGAACGAAATTACTCTTTGAAAAATCTCAATGACAGAACAAAATACGGCCTGTTTGACTTGTACTTCCACGTACTTGATTGACATGTTAAATTAATAAACAAAAATTCTGTCCAACCGTTAACTCTCTTATCAATATAATATGTTAATTTAGAGGATTTCAAGTGCTAGTAGTGAAAAAAATAGTATATATACCACGGTAGAGAAGTCTCTTATTGCCTTCGCACCTTACACCCCTCGGCGCAAGCGCCTCGAGATGTAATCTTGGTGCTCAGGCAATAATACTGGACTTCTCTACCTTGATATATAATGTACTATTAATAGATTCTGCTACTTTTGGTTGCTATAAATTTACAATTTTCTATGTTAAAACAATCGGTAAATAAAATAATTGATACAAAATTAAAAATACAAATGACATATTACACAATCGTGATTGTTGCATTTTTAATGTACGTTTACATGTCTAGTACCAACCAACATTAAAAGATAACACATTTTTCTAGAAAAAATTCGAAGGTACAAGAGTAACAGTTGAGTCATTTTTAATTTGGAAAAACAAATTTGAGGAAGATCTTGGTATTAAAAAGAAACGCGAAGCAGTTGAAAAAGAGGGTCGGAAATTAACAGGGCGAGAACTGTTTATGACTGACGACACATTAAATGAATCAGATTTGAAATTTTTGGATGGTAAGTTATACTTATTTGTAATTTAGTTTTTCAATCCTTTTTTTAGGAGAAGAAGTCAAAGTGGATGAATCGCTATTTCAAGATTTGGATGATTTAGATATTGATGATGAAGATGACGATCCTGATTTTGATCCCAACAATTTTGATAGCGATGGTTCCTAAAATTTCAACTTGTAGATAGATAGCACATTGAGCATTAAATATTTTGTACTGTTGTCTAATATTGTTTATTATATAAATCGCATATTAGCATTGTGATATTTCTTGCCTCAAACTATTTCTTGTCTCATATCTATGATCAGATTTTATTTGTTACCACCAGTTAAATTCATGCTCAAAAGTAAAAATCTAGTCGTGTCTAAGATATGATTAAGATGTTTGCACATTTCATTTCAAAGGCACATTCCACTAAAAAAATATCGAGAGATGGACAAATGAAGAGAGGAGTACACATAAAATGGCACCCAAAAAATGCGCTCAAAGACCTGTACAACATTAATTTAGTTTATCTTCATGCCAAATGAGTATACTTTACATCTACTATATGCACATTTGATAACCACACGAATTTGGGGTAAATGTTTTGTTTGAGACCACGTATTTTAATCAAAGCATGTCAAAATCGTTATTGATGCACCAAAATCACTGTAAACAAGACCAAGGAGATTATCTTTGTGCTTTTGATGAATTTTTGGTGATCGCATGTGTTCATCAAGAAAAGGGATTATAAATATAATTAATAATGTTAATTAATTATTATACTAGATATAGACATAAACGCCATAATAAAATGCGTGTAACGTTACTTGAGTTTCATTAATAACGTAGATTATAATATAGAACGTGTATCATTCAAAATTTAATCTATGACGGTCCAAATAGATTTTATTCGCATTTTGAGTTACCTAAACGTTTTCTTAATTAAAATTTAAAATGATCATACTAAGAGTGGATGCCATATGTTGAATCGAGTTTGTCAATTTTGACGTTCGCAGTGAGTAGTATTTCAACAGACAAGGGTATAATTAAGTCTTAGCAGGCTCAACAAGTTTAATGACACGACGCGCAGCGGAGTGGATATAGACTATAGGTAGTATGTGAAGTAGCCCAAAATCCTGGTGAATTTATATAATTTTCATGTGGTTTGTACTTCGGCGATACATATTGTACCTATACTTTACCGACTAACTGGATAGTATACAAACCGACCAATATTCGTAGCTATTTTAGTGAAATGATGATTTTCCATCAAAATAACCATACATTTGGATAGTTTACATACTATCATTGAATATACTATATCCACAGATATAGGTACGTAAAGAACAGATTGCTAACCATAATGCATAAATTGCTTAACATATTTTAATAAAATAACCACTTATTTTAAATCACCTATCTCATTAAGGTGGGCACTTCTGCCGTTGGATGCTTTCACAGCGCTAGTGTCGCTCGTACATAAAATCATTGAATTTATAAATTCAATGATAAAAGTTAGCAGCTGATTTAATTTTGCAGTCAGCAAATGTAGTGTATTGAACGCTCCTAAATTTGACATTTTTAATTCAAAATTCAGCATAACCTTACTTATAGTCCAAGAGCCCACTAGGAAAGCCCGGACGATTCTAATAATTTTCATAGGATTCGCCATAAAAAGTTGCATTAAAATCGACAACGGTGCCGGCAAAAATCCTGCCGAAAACAGTTAAAAAAAAATTAAATTCGCCCCTTATTTTTGGAAAATGTACTTTTTTCACTACTAGCGTCTGATGACATGATTATTAACCTTTTTTCCACTTGTAAAGTAGGCTTTCTCGGCATTTGTTCAAAGTGGTTAATAATTTTTTATTATTAACTAGTAGTCAATAATGAGAACTGTCACGCTGTCACTTTTAGAAAACACAACCCGAAATTTCGCTCAATGAACGTTTAGACAAGTTCTCTAAAACGAATAATTGCCACCATTCGCAATTTCCAGAGAAATTACATACCTAAAATTATCACATTTTGAAAAAATTCGAACGAAATTACTCTTTGAAAAATCTCAATGACAGAACAAAATACGGCCTATTTGACTTGTACTTCCACGTACTTGATTGACATGTTAAATTAATAAACAAAAATTCTGTCCAACCGTTAACTCTCTTATCAATATAATATGTTAATTTAGAGGATTTCAAGTGCTAGTAGTGAAAAAAATAGTATATATACCACGGTAGAGAAGTCTCTTATTGCCTTCGCACCTTACACCCCTCGGCGCAAGCGCCTCGAGATGTAATCTTGGTGCTCAGGCAATAATACTGGACTTCTCTACCTTGATATATAATGTACTATTATTGTCCCGGACGTTCAGGAAGAGTACTAAAGGGTGCATATGGATGAGTTTTATCGGAAAAAGTCACGGTGCCGGGGCGCAACTTGCCGCAACCCTTGGCACCGCGACTACAATAATGGGGTGGTAAATCGTACTAAACTATACCTTTTTCTCCCGGATCAAAATGACCTACATGAAATATGTAGCTTGCGATTATACGGATATAAAAAACCAACGGTGCCGACTCTCAGGATGCCGGAAGTCCTCGGTACCGTTACCATAGCATAGGGATTGTCGTACCAACGCAACGTTCCTATGGTAACTGGTTAATCAGCGATTTTTTGTAAGAACGCGTTCTCTAACTCCATACATATTAAGTGTTTCAGTTTCAGAAGTACGAAAAATATTATACTTATATACCTTGCGACTGAAGTAGTGGTCTTAATCCCTCAGGTAAATTATGGCCCTCCCTTCGGTCGGGTCATAAACTTTACCTTCGGGATTAAAAGTACTACTTCAGTCCCGCGGTATACAGGGTGGTGCCTTGCGCAACGCAGCATAGGCGACTTCAATGGTAATTTCTTTATAGTCAATTACTAGCTCCCCTAATTATTTTAGAGCAAAAGTCTAAATAAGTTTTTTTTAGAGAAAAAAATACTGCATCTGTTCATACTTTTAGTTATAATTTTCCATTTTTCAAAACCGTAGAAATCGACAAAATAAAAAATTACATTTTTATAAATCAGTGATGCTTTGGAATCTTTTAACAAATTACAAGCGCATCGCATCTAAGTTATCGTTATTTGACGTCGAACGATTTTCATATTTAATTCTGTTACAACTATCACATGCAAGAAAAAGCGGCAATTGGGTAATGTTTTTTTAGAGAATGCATGCTGCATCTGCATCTTTCATTATTTCCCCCACCGATCTTGTACTTGTATGACTAGATAGTAAGTAAGCTGTGACTATGATGCGCACCATGCGCTCGCTCTCTTTTCGCTGCTGTATGTCAACCCACAATGTACTAATAAAGTACTGCTCTTTTTGTTATTACGCTGCCTTTATTTTCACAACCCCAAACTTAACACAGATACTATTTGTTTATCAGAGAGAATCAGAGTACCTACATAATCGAAGAAAAAAAAACTGATTTGAAACAGATTTGTTCCTAAACTTATATTCGGATTTTCCGCTACTGCAGCCAAAACGTTGAATGTATTGTCGTTTTCCTGATGGTTTTGACGGACATTTTGAACGTTATTGCTCTTGCAGTTCTTTAACTAATTTATAAACAAGTATAAAGTTAATAAACGTCAAAGGCAAATAATGAAACGTGATCGCTGTTTCTTTAGGTAATTCCAAGGCATATCTGATTTATTGTAAAATGAACCTTTTTACTTTGTTGATTTCTACGGTTTTGACAAACGGAAAATTATGAGTGATAGCATTGAATTTATAAGTTATAAATTCAATGGTGATAGCATGAACAGATTCAGTATTTTTTTCTCTAAAAAAAACTTATTTAGACTTTAGCTCTAAAATAATTAGGGGAGCTAGTAATTGACTATAAAGAAATTACCATTGAAATCCCTATGCTGCGTCGCGCTAGGCACCACCCGGTATACTATTATTTAGCAGTCGGCAACGCAACCACTGCGTCACTGGCTTCGCTTCTTCTCGCTTTTAGTCCAATGAATAAGGTATTCTTTATTCATTGGTTGGTACACTGGGTTTTGTCAGAGGGTTCTCCTCAGACGTACGTAGCGTCGCATAATGCTAGAATTATGTTCAAATCTACGAGGCGAATGGTGGAGCAGTACTCTTCCCTCTCAGCACCCTAACTCGATTCCTTCCGTTCCCATCCTTACCTAACTTTACCCATCCATATATTCCCGCTCTCTGGCTGAAGAGGGTCAGGGAACCCTGAGCAGCCCGCCTCCGGTATCCCTCGGGGTGCGTGCTCGGAATGGAAATTTTCGCGAGCCGAAACGTAAGCATCAGCCCATCAAGAGGACGGGGGAGGGGGGGGATAACATAGAAAACATGTAGTACGTACATAAAAACAACAAGAAAACGTAAAAAAAATTAAATGTTTCATTTTTATTGTTTCCCTTAGTGTGGCACCAGTGCCTACTAATGGGTTGCGTGTGCTGGTATGATCTGAAGGACGTATTATCGTTTTCATGTGATTTGCATTAATTACAAATAATCCAACAATATGTAGGGTTCTGTAAAATTTCTTTGTGTGCGGCCGGAAAGGATCGGACGCTGCGGTCCCTGTACGAAAAGGAACAGTGTACAAATATTTTCGACGAAACGGAACGATATTGTAATATTTTTTATTCACGATCACACTTATTTTTCCAGGAGGGAGGAAAGTAGATTCTCGAGGTTAGTAATATCACAGACAACATATACCTGTGGTAATATCATTGAATTTATATGGTAATATTCGATTGGTAATATACGTTGGCAATTACAGACCGATTTCCATCCTTCCAGTCTAATTGTCGAAAAGATATTACATCAGCAGATGCACGGCTTCCTATAATTACCAGGCTCCGCTGTAAGAGCTGGCAACGCCGCATCAATACCAAACAGTTGGCCTACCATCTCCACAGTTATGTTACTGAATTATTAAGAAACCAATGTAGGATATTGTTTATTTTTGTCATTTTCAAAAGTGGTCAAGTTAACAGATTATTTCTGACAATATTATAGTACGATGAAGACTGATACAAAAGAAATGCATTTAAGCCACGTTCATATTTTTTATTTATGTGATAAATCAATGCGGAACATAAAGAAATACCAGTATACAAAATTTTACAATCCTAAACACACAAACTTTTAAATTACTTAAAGATAAGTTTTTCGCGCGCTTGGAAATCATTTTAAACGCTAGATTGTAGTTGTGACGTCACAACTGTGT